TTTTTTTTTTTTTTTGCCAATCCTGAAGCCTTGAACTCAGCCTGGTCACTCTCTTCGAGCTCTTGCTCAAAGCTAGTATTCTACCACTTGAGCCACAGTGCCACTTCCAGCTTTTTCTGTTTATGTGGTACTGAGGAATTGAATCCAGGACTTCATGCATGCTAGGCAAGCACTCTACCACGGAGCCACATTTTTCCGCATATGTGGTGCTGAGGAATTGAACCCAGGGCCTCATGCATGCAAGGCAAGCACTCTACCACTGAGCCACCTTCCCAGCCCCATCAGCCTTCTTAGTAGCTAGGATTACAGGTGTGAGCCACTGGTGCCTAGCTTCCATGAGACTTTTGTCTCCAGTTAACCACCAGAAGAGCTGGAAGTGAAGTTGTGGCTCAAATGGTAGAGCTTTAGCTTGGAGCAACGATGCTCAGGGACAGCGCCCAAGCCCTGGGTTCAAGCCCTAGTACCAGCACAAAAAAAAATAAAAATGAAAAGTAAATACTAAATAAAATTAAATAGTAAAATATAATAAAAAATATAAATATATTTTACTTTCCTTTTGCATAACTGTGTCATACCATAGATATAATCCTTAACTGCATCTTTTTTTTTCCATTGAAAATAGTTCCTGAAAAATCACTGTCATTATCTCTCATTCCCAGACTAGGTTATAGTTACATCTTCTTTAGGCTGTTTTTCCTGATCTTCATTTCCTACAGATATATGCTATTTTACTGTTATTCTTTTTCTTATAATATTGGAGAAGGTTTAGTCAGAGCCCTTTCTCATGTTTAGGTTTATTTCCTATGCTTTTTTTTTTTTTTTTTGTCAGTCATAGGGCTTGAACTCAGCCTGGGCACTGTCCCTGAGCTCTTCAGCTCAAGGCTACCGCTCTGCCACTTAAGCCATAGTGCTACTTCCAGTTTTCTGGTGGTTTATTGGAGATAAGAGTCTCATGGAGTTTCCTGCCCCGGCTGGCTTTGAATCACAATCCTCAGATCTTAGCCTCTTGAGTAGCTAGGATTACAGGTTTAAGCCAGCAGCGCCCGGCTTCCTATGCATTGTGTAACATTAAAATATGATTAGCTTTAATAATGGCAAGCTCCATGTTACAACCTATTTAAACTACAAGCTGTTTAAATTAAATAACATCCCCTCTTTGGGCAACATTTGTACTCAGGATAGTAATCTGTTTGGGTCAAGTGCCATGCTTGCCCTGTAATCTCTCAATCTCAGTTATTGTATCTGTGTTGTAACAATGTATTTATAATGTCTGGGCTTCTGTAAGTAGAAAGGCACCATTCATTTTTAAATTTGTGTTCAATTTTGGAGAGGGGTATGTCTGTGTATGTCTGTGTGTTTGTGTTTCTCTCCCTCCAACAACTGACTTTATGTAGTGCTTCTTGAAGCCTGAATGTTGTGTTAATTAACCCTGATGTGCTGCTGCTGTTTCTTTTGCCTTAGGTTAAATGGAAACCACCATTGAGAGCTAGATGCCTGTGTAGCTATTTTACCACATCAGTGTTCTGCAATGAGTGGGGGAGGAGAGCAGCCAGATATCCTCAGTGTTGGAATCCTGGTCAAAGAAAGATGGAAAGTGGTGAGTGTACATCTCTTGAGAGAGAGTGTGTGTGTGTGCGCATATTGAGGAGCAATAACTTGTGGTACCCTCACAATAATAGCATTTCTTTGGAAATATTATCTACATTGCTTATATGCCTAAGCCTGTCATTTTTATGATAAAATTCTGTTTATAATCTTAATTCTTAACTTGCTTCATAAAGTACTAAATTTTCCTATCTTCAAACTGATATTAAATAATATAAATAAAAGTAACCATAGGCTAAGAACAAATGAAAAAATACAGTTTGAGAGTACATTTTACTGTACTGTTCTTTTATGTTTTTAACTTATAATTAAGGAAACGTGTAGTATACATAAAAATAGAGAGATAGATATGATGAACTTTCATGTATTAATGATTCAGCTTAGAGAGAAGCCAGGCACTGGTGGCTCAGGCCAGTAATCCTAGCTACTCAGGAGGCTGAGATCTGAGGATCAAGGTTCAAAGCCAGCCTAGAGACAGACAAATCCAAGAGACTTATTTCTAGTTGCTGAGCAAAAAGCTGGTAGTGGAGGTGTGGTTTGAATGGTACAGTCTGCCACAAGAGATGTGGAGGAGAGGGAGGAAGAGAGATTGGAGGGAAGGAAGGAGAAAGGAAAAAGAATGGGGAGAAACAGACAGAAGGAAGGGATGAGTTCACCCAGTTGATTCCTCTCAGCCATGGGACATAACAGGATTGATTGGAAAGGATGCACTTCCAAATAGCTTCTTTGGGGTCTCCAACCTTGGGCTCCTTAGCGCTCTCATTCTCTCCCAATTTGGTAGCTCATTTTCTAGGGGCTCTGCTGTGGTTCTGACTTCTCAGGATGACCATACTTTTTATAGTATGGCTTGCTTTCAAGCACAAGGCCTCTCTCCTCACAGCAGAAGCAGTGTCACCTTGCCATTTTCTCTGAATTAAAGCAACAAAAAAAAAAGGGAAAATAGATCCTACATCTGTTTGTTATTATGTTGAGATAGAACCCTTGTACATATTAGACAAGTGCTGTACCACTGAACTACATCCCTGTCCTTAGATCCTACTACTTGATGGGGAGTGTGGCAAGTGGCAAGGTCCCATTTCCTTCTTCAGTGTGAAAGGTTCTCCTCACATTGAAGAAGAGCAGGATGGATGATGATTCATCTTTGAAAAATACACCATGCCACAATTCTTGGTTCTATTCTTTAACTGAAGTGCCACTATCATACTAAACTGCCTGTCTGTCTCCTTACCTCAAAGGCAATAATGATGTTTTAGGGCTTTGCCAACCTAATAAATGAATGATCTAAGTTTTTTTTAATTCTGTCATTTACTGATAAAGTTTTTTGTGAGGTAGAGCAATAAGCCACCTCTCATCCGTGTTGGCAGGATATATCTTTGGTGCTGTTTCCATAGTTTTTGTTGCTGTTGTTCATTTTGTTTTCTGCGATACAAATTCCTGGGTTCAGGTGATCTACCTCATTCTTCTGAGTAGTTGTGCCTACAGGCACACACTATTTTTTATTTATGAGTTTTTAAGGTTTTATTAGGCTTTGTTTAACGGATATAATGTAAACAATCATAAGATCAATCAGAGCTTAACACAGAGCAACCATTTAACTGAATAATTATGAAACTTATCTTTTGAATCTTGAACTCATCCTGTAGTTCCTCATAGTATTCCCTTCCCACCATCAATTAAAAATAAAGAACAATAATGGCTTATGCATACAGCGTAAGCAGTTCTGGAGCAATAATAAAACAAACATGCTAGGCTCCTGTGGCTCATACCTGTAATCCTTGCTATTATGGAGGCTGAGATATAGCCTGGGCAGGAAAGTCCATGTGACTCTTACCTCCAATAAACTCCTCAGAAAAAGCCAAAAGTGTTGCTCTGGCTCAAGTGGTAGAGTGCTAGCCTTGAGCACAAAGAGGCTCAAGGATAGCACCCAGGCCCTAAATTCAAGCCTCAGGATGGATATATATATACATATACCTATGTGTGTATGTATATATGTGTGTGTGTGTGTGTGTGTGTGTGTATGTAGAACTTTGCCAACTGCTATGGGGCCATAAAAAATAGAGCATAGGTAGCCTCTCAAGAAGTTTAGTTGGTCTCAAGTGGAGTGAGACATTGACAACTGAAAAGTAGTAGAATAGTACAAGTTATCTCTGAGGTGTATGACCTGATAAAATGATGAATGATTAGACTAAAAAATCCCTTAGATAGTAAAGAAACCAACCTAAATAGAGTAATCAGTGAAAATCTGCTGGAAAAATAAGTAGGACATGAGCTAGGAGCCTCTAGAGAGGTTAGTTTTTGGATCCTTCCTTCTACTGATAACTTCCTTTATTCTGTCGTATCCTAGATGTCTGAGAGTGTGATAAGAAGAAACCCTAACTTCAGAGAATTTAAGATGACTACTTTTGTGTTGTATCTTGTGTGTTTTTTTGGTCTTGTGGTGCTGGGTATTGATCCCAGAGCTTTATACATGAGATATTCAGCCCCAGTCCATGCTGCCTATAGTGCAGAGTATATCACACACCTCAGGTTTTCAGAGCCCTACAGGTTCAATTGTCATCAGCTCTTTAAACCTTGTTTGTGATATCAAAGATACTGCTTGTTGTCCAGTGAAGCTAAAGTTTTATTAGGAAGAATGTTGAATGTTTGGTGGAAGTAGTTCAGTTGATTAAGTTCACTCCTATTTGATTGTGTCGATTGTCAGCTCTGAGGCAGTTGGGAGTAGTGCTCTGCCTGCTGTGTGGAGCCTATTGGTTGCCTCAGATAGGCGAGTAAACATTGGGATGGTTGGGTACTCACTGTTTAGTCTGTTTTCCAACCTCCCACTTTTGACAGACACCAGATTGGTTCCATTTAAGATTTCTATTAGCAAAAGGATTTCGTGGTTTAAAAAAGTCTGCAAGCAACTGTTTCAAAATTAAAACAACAAAGCTGGGTGTTGAGTGGCATTTGTGGGAAGTGACTCAGGTACTGTGTGTGTGTGTGTGTGTGTGTGTGTGTGTGCACATGTGTGTGTGTTTTCTGATTCTGTCTAGAGACCAGAATTGTTGGTTACCGAAATAATTTCATTACTTTTTGTAAGAAGACCTGTAGAAGAAGGTTTCATGTTGTTTCGACATAGCTGTTTTCTTCTTTGTATATATTAAATAATTTAGATATTAAATAATTTAGATATTAAAATTACTATTTTTTCTAAATAGAAGGGATGAATTGATGTCTAATTAGAATCTTCTCATAATTTTGAGTGTGTTTTTATTTTATTTTCTGTGCAGTTGAGAAAGATTGGGGGTGGGGGCTTTGGAGAAATTTACGATGCCTTGGACATGCTCACCAGGGAAAATGTGGCACTGAAAGTGGAATCAGCTCAACAACCAAAACAAGTTCTGAAAATGGAGGTTGCTGTTTTGAAAAAACTACAAGGTAAGCTGCTTTGGATGCAATTTGTAGTTTGTATAATAACTTTATCATTTGTTACCTTCCTGAACCTAGCTTTTATTCTGTAGCTACTAATTGGATAATCTGGTGTTGTCTAGGTACACACATACAGAGAATTTTTTCTTAAAAATTGTATTATATCAGCAGGAATGTGTGGTTTCATGGTAAGGATGGGAGAATAAGAAGAATAATTCCAGTGTTTGAGATAGCAGCCTGGATCTGCTCTAGTCTGTTGTTGTTGTTGTTGGTGGTGGTGGTGGTGGTGGTGGTGGTGGTGGTTGGTGGTGGTGGTGGTGGTGGTGGTGGTGGTCGTGGTGCTCATGGGGCCTGAATTCTGGGCCTGGGCGCTGTCCCTCAGCTCTTCAGCTCAAGGCTAGTACTTTACCACTTGAAACACAGCACCACTAAATAAATTACCATGCATTTGTTCTTTCATTATTCATTCATTTTGTTCTTTCCTTCTCTCTTCCTTTTTTTTTTTTTTTGTGGGACTCAGGGACTACAGCTTCCTCAGCTTGCTTTTTCTTCTGGTGCTCTACCACTTGAGTCATATGTCTAGCCTTGTCTTTTACTAATTATTTTTGGAAATGGAGTTTCTTTAACTTTTTTTTCTCAAGCTGCCTTCAAACTTCAATTCCCCAAATCTCAGCCTTCTAAGTAGCTTATATTACAGGCATATGCCAGTGTCACCAGCTCTTTTATTCATTTTGTATTCATTCAGTGACTATTTATTTGACCACACAAGGAGCAGTGCAAACTTAGGGGTAGATAGATAAAATTTGTGAAAAATATATTTCCTATTCATAAGGTCTCAAAGTATTTTACATATTTTATTGAATCATAAAATAGTAAAGAACAGCAAATTATTTGTTTTTGGAAAGGAATCTATGATATATCCTTTTCTATTGTTTTCTTTCTTTCTCTCTCTCTCTCTTTTTTTATCCAGGGAAAGACCATGTTTGTAGATTTATTGGCTGTGGGAGGAATGATCGATTCAACTATGTGGTCATGCAGTTGCAGGTAGGTTATCTTGAAAACGTATCCGAAAATCTTTCAGTTTTGATTAAAGTGCCCAGTTACATTAAGTCTGAATAAAATGACAATCTTTTACTATCATACCAGAAGATTTTACATTTATAGATAGAACTATATTTAAATAGACTTGATAAAAGCTTTCCAAAAGTAACATGGTTATTCTTTTCAGCTATTTTAGTTTACCTCACTGATTGCCATTTGTGTAAAAGTTTTCATTCCCAACATGGATTGTAGAATGTAGTTTGAGTCTTTCTATCCCTGTCTCTTCATACCATTTTTGTTACCTTAAGCATTTTAGTTTCTCATTTATACATTGAAATACCAGTCATAGCTACTTAAAAATGAAAGCATTAGTTGACCTTGATAAATGTTGACCCTTTCTTTCTTCATCAGCATAACTGTCTCTTCTCCTTTAGATATGAGAGTGGAGTTGAGAGCAGAGTAAAGATGTTCTTAGAAAGAAAATGAGCATAATGACTATAGCAGGCAGAAGAAGGAAAGTGTTCTTTGACACCACCTCTGCCCCTGAACACACACACACACACACACACACACACACACACACACACACACACACAC